GATTACAGGCATGAGCCACCCCACCAAGCTAACATCTCGGTTTTTGTTTGTTTGTTTTGAGATGAAGACTTGCTCAGTCATCCAGGCTAGAGTGTAGTGGCGCAATCTCGGCTCACTGCAATCCACCTCCCAGGCTCAAGCCTGTCTCCCAAGTAACTGGGATTACAGGCGCCCACCACCACACCCAGCTAATTTTTTTTTTTTTTTCTAGTAGAAACGAGGTTTCACCATGTTAACCAGGATGGTCTCAATCTCCTGACCTCATGATCCACCCGCCTCAGCCTCCCAAAGTGCTGGGATTACAGGCGTGAGCCACCAGGCCTGGCCTATATTTCAGTTTTTAAACTTAAAATAATGTCAAAACTAAAAGAAACCCATGATTTTAGAGATGAGAAAACTGAGATCCAAGACAATGAAGTAACTTGCTGGTAAACAACAGAGCTAGGTATAACATAAAAGAAGCTCCAGTTAATGTATTTTTTATAAAATATGATCTTGATAACTTTGTTGAAAAAAACTAAGGACTAAAAATCTTAATTATGTTTTAAATAAACATTTGTAATCAAAGCCATACTCATTTGGAATTCATAGGAAACCATGCTAAAATTTGTATTTGCTTAGAAAATGCTCTCTTCTAAAAAGAAAAGATAGTAAGACTGTAAGAGAAAATATTATTTTCCTTTAACTTTAAAACTTAAAAGTTGGGCCGGGGCAGTGGCTCACACCTGTAGTCCCAGCACTTTGGGAGGCCGAGGCTGGAGGATCACAAGGTCGAGAACAAGACCACCCTGGCCAACATGGTGAAACTCTGTCTCTACTAAAACTACAAAAATTAGCCGGGCGTGGTGGTGGGTGCTCGTAGTCCTATTTACACTCCAGAGGCTGAGGCAGAAGAATCGTTTGAACCCAGGAGGCGGGGGTTGCAGTGAGCCAAGACCACGCCACTGTACTCCAGCCTGGGTCACAGAGTGAGACTCCAACTCAAAAATAAATAAATAAAAATACGTGTTTTTAAAATATAAATACCATTCAAAGCTGTTTAGTATAAATTCACTTCAAATTGAATCACTAAAGTTTAACTTTTTAAAAAATATCTAAAATTATTTGGAATATGAAAAGATCCTAAGTGAACAGAAAAAACACCCTTAAACCTGAGGCAGCTCCTCAATATCCCCAAGATTAGTACAGTTGCTTAGCATGGTAACTGTGGAATCAGATGTAGGGGCTCCAGCATAAGAAGCAGCCACATAGGAATCACCTCTACTCACTATAACATAAGACTACTGTTTACTGCAACCATAGTTGCTCATTTCTGTAACAATTTCATACACATATCTTTCCATTTCTTAGTCTGAATTGGACACTGCTACTCACTATTATAAGAAAAAAAATATCAGGCTAATATAATAGAGGCCAAATTTAGAGAGAGGAATAAAAATCTTCCTTCAGTCTAGGCTAAATGGACTGATTACACAAAGAAGTCCATACATCCAAAAGCACACAGATGTCTGCACTAGTTCCCAGGGCTCAAACAATACCAGTCATTCAATAGCTTTCCTTTTACGTAAGTTGCTGTGAGAAAGCTCAGTCAGCTCTTGTGAACCTCATAATCCAGGATCCTGGAACTCGGAAAAGTCTACATGTTTCCTCAGCACTGTTTTCATGTACTTTGTCTGGAACTCAAACTTCCTATTTCCCCCCAAAAATAAATCTGGAAATCATCTCTTCTGTTTGACAAATGATGTACTCTACCTATAATTACTTTTCAACTAAAACCACAATCCACGGTAAAAATCTAAGATCATTAACTCTGAAAGATTATCTGATGAATGTATTTTTCAGTGTTGGAGTTTAAAATATAATTTTAAATATACTCGATCATATGTACATATATCAAATATATATATACCATTTGACCGGATTCTATTTGTTTCCATTGCGGTGTTTTACAATAGCCATGACACCAAATGACGTCTCAAAAATTAAAAGAAATTTTGAGAGAAGGACTGTTAAGGGTGGGGGAGGGGGTTGAATTTACTCATTCACTCTCTCCTGCCCTCCCCTCCTCCTGCCTCCCACATTAACCACACACATCAAAAACAATAAAATACATTTCACTGGGTGTGAAGACCAAGCCTTTAGCCCACAGAAAAAAAGTTATTCTTCACTGAACCACCTTCAGAAGCTAAATAACACTACTTTCTACCTTCAAGGTACAGTACTGCTGATTCTTCCAATAATCTTTTTTATCAGCTACGTCTGGTAAATTCTCACATTCAATATTGAGAAGTAATAAGGATAAATTAAAGCCACAGAAACTCTAAAGTATATTTTAATCAAATGGCAAAATTACTTCAGAAGATACTTATCAGACCTGCTACCCAGAAGTAAAGCTCATTAGATTCGGAGGACAAAATGAGAATGATTAATTTACTCACAAAACTGTTAGATCCTGAAGAGTCAAGAGGAACTATATATACACATTCAGTTCCCTTTAATAATGTATTATCATATAATCATTAATCTCTTATAGAAATGATCAAGACGTGATTCCAAAATTTGGTAATGAAGCTCATAAGAGCTCTTGTGGCCCTTTTAACATTCTTCCTCTTCACATACATGTGACATAATGCAAATAAACATGCTTTGAAGAAGAAAAAGTTGTCTCTCCAAAGTTTTCTGTTCTTAAACAGTAAATCCTTAAAGATAAACCAAACCCCCTCTCTCTCCAACCAGAGTACAAAATGCAGAACTCTAAACATAATAACCATTTAATAGATATTTAAGTTTCAATCATCACCCTTTTAAGACTGAACTTGTCTAGAAGACAAAGAGGGGAAAAAACTTTTATCTTTTCACCGAAGTATTCTTCCCTAATGACCACTAAAAGCACCAAAATCCTATGTGTTCTACAAAGCAGTAACCTCAGAAACGTTTCAACACTCCCTGAGCCTTACAAACTCTGTTAGCAAAACGCAAACTCTATTTCTCAAACATATCTAAAAAGTTCTCAGCAACCAAATTCTTTGATCACTACAGTTACATCTGAGACCTCCTCCTCAGGACACCCAATCCTTTTTCCTACCATCAGAGCCACTACAATATCTCCTGGTGCTTTAAGAGCACCACCTTGCTTCAACAAACACCTTTTAATTCCACTCTAAAATATACATATTTGTATTTCCAAACATTTCCCTCTAAAATTTCACTATACTACTGCCCACGTTATTCTTTACAGTCAAATCAGTCTTCTCATTTTTCTACAACATGGCATCCGTGTAACCTCTGTTAACCAAATCAGGCCAAGATAAAGAAGCACATATAAACCTTTCTTCCATTTTTCCCAAGTTCTCATTTATTACATAAAAAGAATTCACTCCTTTCTATAAATGAGTTTTAAAGCATTGTAACACAATTGAAAGAAGACAATAATTATCCACAAGATATTTATCTTTCAATTTCAACCAAGTATTAGTAAGTTATTTCAGGTTCATGTTCAGATAGTTATCTATACATAGCCATGACAGACTGACCATGACAGTTTATTCAATAAAGAAATATAACAGGTGGCTCACGCCTATAATCCCAGAACTTTGAGGGGCCAAGGTGGGTGGATCACAAGGTCAGGAGTTCAAGACCGGCCTAGCCAAGACGGTAAAACCCCGTATCTACTAAAAATACAAAAATTAGCTGAGCACAGTGGTGGGCACCTGTAATCCCAGCTACTAGGGAGGCTGAGGCAGGAGAATCTCTTGAACCTGGAAGGCGGAAATTGCAGTGAGCCAAGATCGTGCCACTGCACTCTAGCCCGGGCAACAGAGCAAGACTCCATCTCAAAAAAAAAAAAAAAAAAAAAAACAAAGAAAGAAAGAACTGCACTCTAGCCTGGGCAACAGAGCAAGACTCTATCTCAAAAAAAAAAAAAAAAAAGAAAAAAAATCACAAAATGGTATATACTAATAGTAGGAATGAGGCATAATGGGATACAGTTCACACTTTGTAATGAGATTTACTCAGAGCCTTAAATTTTCTTTCTCATTAGAAAATAAACCTTAATTGCAAATACATGTTTAGCTACCTAGAAATGCGTTATTTAATAACTTTTATTTTTCATTCAATACTGACATACTAAATAACACTTCAGAGTGTAACATAAAAAAACTAGTATCACAATATCATTGTATATATAAGTTATAAGATCTAGATTAGTCTATCTCGTCTTTAGCTATCAAATACTACTCTTGTTTTTATTTCTTCTTCTCTCCCTTCAAATTATCTTCTGATATCACCAAAAATAAATACTGAAGAAAACCCAAGAAATATAAGTATGACTATTCCATAAGTGCAATTAGAAACCCAAAACAATTTATAGAAACGCTAAGAACACAACACCCTGGGCACAGTGACTCACTCTGTAATCCCAGCACTTTGGGAGGGCAAGGCAGGAGGATTGATTGTTTGAGCCCAGGAGTTCAAGACCAGCCTGGGCAACATGGTGAAATTCCATCTCTACAAAAAAAAGTTTCTGAGACAAAGTCTCATTCTGTTACCCAGGCTGAATTGCAATGGTGCAATCTCAGCCACTGCAACCTCTGCCTCCCAGGTTCAAGTGATTTTTGTGCCTCAGCCACCCAAGCAGCTGGGATTACAGGGATGCGCCACCATGCCCGGCTAACAAAAAAACTGTTTTAGTCGGGCATGGTGGTACACACCTGAAGTCCCAGCTACTTGAGAGGCTGAAATGGGAGGATCGCTTCAGCCTGGGAGCTTGACAGCGCAGTGAGTTATGATTGCATCACTGCACTCCAGCCTGGGTGACAGAACAAGACCCTGTCAAAAAATAACAACAACACAACGTAACTTTCCACATTCAAGTCTACTCAACAAAGCCCAAAGAATCTAAAATTCCCATTTTCTCATAGGGATCAGGGTAGTTTATGCCAGCGGAGAAAAACCAAAAAGAAGGTACGATGATCTTTGTACACTGTACAAAAACTTACCCACTTGTAGGATCTAAGGCAATAGCTCTGGGTTGATCCAACTCTTGCCAAAATAAAACTTTTCGTAAAGATCCATCTAAATTAGAAACTTCAATCCGATTAGTTTCGGAATCTGTCCAGTACAATTTTTCTCCAAGCCAATCACATGCCAGCCCATCAGGGGACAATATTCCAGAAACAACAACACGCTGTACACTCTCAGTTTTGTTAAATTCTGTTTGTTTAATGGCTTCTTCGCTGACATCACTCCAGTATATCAAGCCATGACCAAACACAAAGTCCACCGCAGCTGCATCCTCCAAGCCTCCAACTACAATCGTAGCATTCTCTTTGCCATTTGTAGCATCAACCAATCGCAAGTCCCGTCTGTTTGCATAAAGCAACAAAGGGGCCGCTAGAACAAAAAAAGAAAAATATGTAAGTGAAAAGGAAGAAAAGGTATTTGTTCTTACAAACTGGGTTTCAAATCAGTATTAGTGAGCAAAGACTGTCAACAATTTTAAAAGGGTAAATAAATCAGTAGGAAACCATCTAAAATTCTTTCACACACAAAATATTATTTTTGCAGCATTTAAAAAATAAAACATAGCAAAAGGGGGAAACATATCCACTAGGATAGTCTTTTCTTGTTAAAATAACTCAAATAAAATTTTAAAGCCTGGTTATACCAAGAATTGGAAAGGATGTGGAGCCAGTAGAACACTCATACTCTAATAGGGTGAATGTAAAAATGGTACAGCCACTTGGGAAAACAATTCAGCAGTTTCCTAAAAGGTTAAACATACAACCTGCTGTACAATCCAAGGCCTATTCCACATCTAGGTACTTACTCAAGAGAAACAAAAACATGTCAATACAAGGACTTGTATGCAAATGCTCATAGCAATTTATTTGTAACAACCCAAACTGGAATCCACCCAAATGTCATCAACAGACTAATGGATAAAAAACTGTGATACTGCCATACAAAGAAAGTAATGAACTCTTTGTACATGAAAAATGGGTAAATCTCGCCGGGCGTGGTGGCTCAAGCCTGTAATCCCAGCACTTTGGGAGGCCGAGGCGGGTGGATCACGAGGTCGAAAGATCGAGACCATCCTGGTCAATATGGTGAAACCCCGTCTCTACTAAAAATACAAAACAAAAACTAGCTGGGCGTGGTGGTGCATGCCTGTAATCCCAGCTACTTAGGAGGCTGAGGCAGGAGAATTGCCTGAGCCCAGGAGGCGGAGGTTGCGGTGAGCCGAGATCGCGCCATTGCACTCCAGCCTGGGTAACAAGAGCGAAACTCCGTCTCAAAAAAAAAAAAAGAAAAAAGAAAAATGGGTAAATCTCAAAATAATTCAAAGAGAAAGAAGCCAGCCCAAAACAAAGGTATGTAATTGCATGGCTCCCATCTATATAAACTTTTACAAAAGGCAAACTAGCCTATTATGACACAAAGCAGATCAACGGTTGTCTCAAGATATGGAGACAGGGTGTAAAAGAATGAGGATTAAAAAGGGGCATGAGCAAACTTTTGAGGGTAATGAGCTATATTATCAATATATAATGATGGTTCCAGAGGTGTATACAGGTCAAAACTTATTAAATTTTACACCTGACATTAGCAAAATTTACTGTGCATCAATTATGCCTTAATAAAACTGTTACAGTCTGGCAGAAATAGTTATTAGTAAAACTACTTTATTCTGTTCTATGTTACTATTAAAATTACCTTTGAAAAGACCCGAGGCCAGGTGCAGTGGCTCAGGCCTGTAATCCCAGCACTTTGGGAGGCCACAGCAGGCACATCACTAGGTCAGGAGTTCGAGACCTCACTGGCCAATATGGTGAAACCCCATCTCTACTAAAAATACAAAAATTAGCTGGGTGTGGTGGCACAAGCCTGTAGTCCCAGGTACCCGGGAAGCTGAGGCAGGAGAATCACTTGAACCCGGGAGCAGAGGTTGCAATGAGCCAAGATTGAGCCACTGCACTCTGGCCTGGGTCACAGAACAAGACTCCATCTCAAAAAAGAAAAAATGAAAAGACCCAAAACTAAATATAAAGCCAATCTTACAGAAATAATGTTTAACTTTGATAAAGTTGAGGCTGTTGGGAGTAGGGTAGTATAAATTCCATGTTTTTTGTTTTTATTAAGTATCTATTCCAAGCTTCTGACATTTACTTTCCTAGTATCAAGCAGCAATTAAAAATCTAGAGTACCACTGTCCCATAGAACTTTCTGTAATGATGGAGATAGTTCTGTGCATAACACAGTACCACTAGTCACATGCAGCTAAGGAGCGCTTAAAATGTGGCTAATGTGACTAATAAATTTTTAATTTTATTTAATCTTTTTTTTTTTTTAGATGGAGTTTCACTCTTGTTGCCCAGGCTGGAGTGCAATGGCGCAATCTCGGCTCAGTGCAGCCTCTGCCTCCTGGCTTCAAGTGATTCTCCTGCCTCAGCCTCCTGAGTAGCTAGGATTACAGGTGGCTACCACCACATATGACTTATTTTTTGTATTTTTACTAGAGGTGGGGTTTTGTCATGTTGGCCAGCCTGGTCTAGAACTCCTGGCCTCAGGTGATCCGCCCACCTCAGCCTCCCAAAGTGCTGGGATTACAGGCATGAGCCACCCCACCCCCAATTTTATATAATCTTAATTCATTCCCACTTAAATAGACAAGTGTGGCTACTGGTAGTATTGGATAGCACACATCTAGAGGCTGGAATGCGAACATAAATCAGGCAGCAAAAGTAAGACCAAGCCAGGCATGGTGGCTCATGCCTGTAATGCCAACACTTTGGGAGGCTGAGCAGGAGGACTGTTTGAGCCAGGAGACCAGCCTAGGCAACACATGGAGACCTCATCACTACAAAAAAATTAATTTAAAAAAATTAGCCAGGCATAATGATGCACGCCTGTAGCCCCAGGTACTCAGGAGACTAAAATGGGAGGATCACTTGAGCCCAGGAGTTTAAGGCTACAGTGAGCTATGATTACACCACTGCGCCCAGCCTGGGTGACGCAGGGAGACCCTGTCGTTAAAAAAAAAAAAAAAAAAAAAAGTGAGTTATGATGCAATAATCTACATGATCTTCTTTCATAATTACTTACTAAAAGTCTAAAACTGTGTCATCTGAAGCCAAACCCAAGTACCATTTAGAAGTAACTAGTCCCCGTTTTTTAAGAAATTACTCCAATGTCAAAAAAGTATAAGAAAAAAGTGATGTTTACACTATAGACTGTCAAACAGAGTTACAAATGTATACTATTTTCATCTATAGGTACCACATAAACTTCCCTAAGCTTAAATCCAACCTTCTTGGTCAAAAAAAAAAAAAAAAAATTGGCAGACAGCTTTTTTCTTTTGAGACTGAATTTTGCTTTTTTTTTTTTTTTTTTGAGATGGAGTTTTGCTCTGTCGCCAGGCTGGAGCACGGTGGCGCAGCCTCAGTTCACTGCAACCTCCGCCTTCCAGGTTCAAGTGATTCTTCCACCTCAGCCACCTGAGTAAGCTGGGACTACAGGCGCATGCCAAACACCCGGCTAATTTTTGTATTTTTAGTAGAGACGGAGTTTCACCATGTTGGCCAGGATGGGAATTTTGCTTATTTCCCAGACTGGAGTGCAGTGGCATGATCTCGGCTCACAGCGACCTTCACCTCCCGGGTTCAATCCTGCCTCAGCCTCCGGAGTAGCTGGGATTACAGGCGCCTGCTGCCATGCCAGGCTCATTTTTTGTACTTTAGTAGACAGAGGTTTCACCATGCTGCCCAGGCTGGTCACAAACTCCTGAGCTCAGGTCATCTACCTGCCTCGGCCTCTCAAAGTGCTGGGATTACAGGAATGAGCCACTGTACCCAGCTGGCAGACAGCTTTTTTAAAAGGTGACTAACCAGTCTTTGTACATTCTGTGTATCTGCTGCAGCTATTAGCAAATTCATAAATTTCCCTAACAGAGTCATTTTTAATTCATTTCAGACCTTCACACATCACATTGATTTATCAGTCCGCATAGAGCCCACTATACTGAGTTTCTCATACGTACTATGGGCCAAATGTAAACATCATTAAAAAAAGGTCCCTACTAGTGAAGGATACAATGCTAAGTGCTGCATAAGGCTAAGGAATGCCCACAAAACACTTAAAATTTAAAATCCAAGAGTGATAATAATCTAATTAATTTATTGGGCACCTTCTTTATGGCACTATCCTTGGAAAACTGTATCAAAGCTATATGACATTAGGTGGCAGCCAAATGCTTTTCATGGCATTCAAGTTAAACTTTAACACGTCTACATGTACTATTTTTGGTCTACAAAATCCAAAGATGCTTTCTAGTCATTTGAGGCCTCAAAAGCGTTCTGAGTCTCCTCTCCCTCCCAAAAACCAGTAAAGGAGGAAAATTAATCTTTAAGTAAGCAATACTAGTTACAACTGAGGATTTGTAAAGGACTGTACATAAATCTGTTGTACATAAACCATACTATTGAAAGGAAATCCCAGGGTTCATCCTGTCCAACCAACCCTTGGGATGCTTGAATATTTTCTATTATTATATTGTCACCAGATCTGTTCAGCAATATATTAAATGGGATATCCCGTAGGTATAATTTGATTTGTAACATTGTTTTTATCTACCAAAGAGATACACTGGATCCACACACTTGCTCCCTGGAACATATCAGTATCTTCCATTTCAGAGAGCTTACTTTCTGACTGCCTAGTACTCAAATAACCCAAATAATCACCATCACTTCTCTTTAGGGGAAAACTCACAGTGCTCAGGAATCTTTGTTATCCCCTTTATTAAACTCCTGGAAAATTTTCTATAGCAGCCTTTCTAAACTTTTTCTACTTTTAAAGACCAATTTCCAGCCGGGCATGGTGGCTCACACTTGTAATCCCAGCACTTTGGGAGGCTGACGCGGGCAGATCACCTGATGTTGGGAGTTCAAGACCAGCCTAACCAACATGGAGAAACCCTGTCTCTACTAAAATTACAAAATTAGCTGGGCAAGGTGGTGCATGCCTGTAATCCCAGCTAGTAGGGAGACTGGGGCAGGAGAATCTCTTGAACCCAGGAGGCAGAGGCTGCTGTGAGCCAAGATCAGGCCATTGCACTCCAGTGTGAGCCACAAGAGGGAAAACTCCATCTCAAAAACAAAAACAAAACAAAAAGACTAATTTCCATGCCCTGAACCCTTCATTCTCAGACCATCTCAAAACAATCTCAGTGAAGCAGGAAATAAAGTGAATGTTACACATCCCCAACATCTTAATTTATACCTCTCAAAACTTTCTCTCCACTCATATTCTCTTATCTTGTCCTCAGTCTTAAATGACAAGATGACTTTTCTCAGGCTAAAGCAGTACTTTTGGTTCAGATTCCTTACCTCCTC